ACATTAGTTACTGTCCATTTTACCTCAAGAATTTCCATTTGGTTCTTTTTAAACATAATTTCTGTCCCTTTTACTAATATTCTGCAGTTGATGAAACATGGTCTCCTTTAGTTCTTTGAACATATTTATAATAGATGCTTTGAAGTCTCTGTTTGCTAAATTCAACATCTGGATCTATTTAGGGGCAGTTTCTATTACCTGTTTCCCTCCCATCTCATGTACAGGTCACATATTTTTTCTTTGCCATGTGTCATAATTTTTTTGTTGACAATCGATATTTTAGATAATATAGTATAGCAAGCAATTTCCACCTCCCTGAATGGTTGTTGCTATTGTTTGTTGGGTTATTTTTTTTCCAGTTATTTGGCTGAAGTGACTCCATGAAAATTGTTTCCCCTGTAATATACAACCTCTAATATTCTTGCCCAGATTTCTACTTGATTTTTATCTTTTACCTAACAATCTAGAAGTTACCCTGAGTCAGTGTAATTATGCCCCCTTAGCCAGTTTGAGTTTTACTCTTTACCACTGAATGTATATGTGGCTTGAAGGCTACTATCACAGATCAAAGAATTCACATTTCTTCCCCCATTCAGCCAGGTAGTAGCAGCTTAGATTGTCCCTCTCCAATCATTTCTGAGGAGGCACAGCCTTCAGCATGTGCAGTTTCCCAGACTAACAGGGATATTTGTGATTTTACTTTTAAGCCTGGCTTCCAAGGAGTGGCCCCTGGGCCAGAGTAGCTTTTTGTTCAGTCACTGCTTGATTAGAGGCTGTGCTTAAGTATCTAGTACCAGTGAAACTTCTGCTCTGTTGTTTGATCTGTGTGAGGCTTGGGGACTGCTTGCAAGTTCACCTTGTGTCCTGAATGAGTGTAGTCTCATGTTTACACACAGCCTTCCTAACCCCCAGGGTTGACTATGATCCCAGGAGTGCCTGGACGTCTTTTTGCTTGCTTTTCTCTATTACCAAACTTATTATTTCAGTCATCTCACTTGTTGTAACTTGTATCATGGAGCTATGATACAATTGTTCTTAATTGTTCTCCACTAAGATTTCCATTGTCTGACAATGCCCTTAGAAATGGAATTCTCCAAGATATGTTCCATACAAAGTCAGTTCCTTTGGGTAGTACTAAGGAGTTCTTCATCTGTCAGGCCTTCCTCTCTCCCTAAGCAGAACCTTTGTGCCACTGTGCAGGGTTGACAGCAGGGACAGTGGCCCACTCTCTAAGAGTGAAACCTTTTCTTTACAAATGGGTGCTGGGATGATTTTTGGCTTGCTCCTTCTGGCGTGAACCTCTGCCCTATAAGTAAGCTGGGGGTGGAGCAATAGGAGTCTAGGCTTGTCAGCATGCTGTCCCTAGGTGAGTGCTGCTACCTGTGGATGGGGGAAGAGAAAGCTGAGTGGGAGAAAAGAGGCCCAGTCCCCTTGAGTCTGCTTGGAAGAGAGCAAGACAGACCTGGAGGATATATGAAATGTCAGAGGCCTGCACCTCCCAGGTGAACCATAGCTCTAGACTAGGAGCTAGGGAGACAGGGAGTCCCCAGTTTCTTGACCACACCCACCCTGTATTAGAGCTCCTTGAGTAGTTATCATAAAACAAAGCTTAGAGGGAGATGAGAGCAGGTTAAATGCCCGACTTTTGCTGTACTTTCTGAGATTTAATTGATTTTCTTGAATGAATGTTTCTGTACTTGCTGTATGCCCCTAGGACAATTTCCAGGAATTAAGAATGATTGCTTTGCTTTGTTTAATAATTTTTCCCAGTTAAATGGTTACTTGTTGGTAAAAGAGTTCATCACACTACTCATTTTGCCATTCTGGAACTCTTTCTCAAAGATCGTATTTTAAAATGTTAATACTGACCCTTGAATCAATCTTATTCATTTGCAAAACCATTTTTCTATTTCTACCTTGTGTCTGTTGTTTCAAATATTCCTTTATATATATTAGGATATCTTTCCTCCTCTCTTTTCACCATTACAATGTAATTTGAGTTTTTTTCTGGCTATCCTTTTAATATATGAAATAATTAACCTTAGATATATAGTTTACTGAGAGTAACCGAGGTGGTGTTAGTGGTAAATAACCTGCCTGCCAATGCAGGAGATAAGAGATAAGGGTTTGATCCCTGGGTCAGGAAGATCCCCTGGATAAGGAAATGGCAACTCACTCCAGTATTCTTGCCTGGAAAATCCCATAGACAGAGGAGTCTGATGGGCTACAGTCTATGGGTTTGCAAAGAGTCAGACACGGCTGAAGCAACTTACCACGCAATATTGCTTACTCAGAGGTTCTCTAAATATCTAAATAAATTACAGGCTGTAATTCTCACCTTTGTCTATATGCTTATGGCTACTTTAGACCTTCGTTTATACCACTCATATGAAACCTACCATGTATCAGGGGTGCTTATATATGTAACTTAGAGTACCATAAGCTCCTTCATCTTAGATTCCATCACTGCCTTAGAATACTGCTTTCATATAGTAAGGACTCAAATATATGTAGAATGAATGAACAGAAAGGGGACTATTTCCTTTAAGCTGTCTTGCCCTAAAAGGTTATGCTTGTTTATATATCCTAGCTGAACTTACTTTATTGTAGGTCTTCCCCTATCTTTGCTAGATTCGTGAAGACTCACAAAGCTGTTTCCAATGACACCTCTGGAACACCTTGTAGGTCTTATAACCTACTCCACTAGAAAATTTTAAAACACTCTTGGATAGTGTAGGCTTTATTTTATCTAGAATTAAAGAGCTGTACTACATGACCCAAGGACCCTTATCAGCTTTAGGTTTTGATAGCAAGGGAGATCTTTACTCTTGACCAAACCTATTCCCTTAACACAGTTTTATAAGAAAACCTTGCATATTTTATTAAACTCTCAAGCATTTAATTTTCCTCTATAAAAAGGCAGACCATTTCCAATCAATCTGAATCCCCCTATACGTATAGCTTGAAATGACAGGATCATCATTTACTGACCTTACATAAAACATGACATTAGCAGTATCAATTACCACATATATCTTGAAAGAATATTATTCTCAAATTAGAATTACACATAGTCAAAAGTATTTTACCTGAACTCTAGAGCTAAAACCCAACTCTGGATAGCGCAGTTCCACAATGACTCATACAGAAATCCTAATTAAGACTGATGAAGTATGCCACCCAATGGATGTACTGCCATACTGCACTCATAAAATACACACATACAGAGGTTAGTATTTGTTATCTCCTTCAGGTTACCAAAATCCACTGGACAGTATCAATAGAAACACTGAAGAGAAAGCAAAGGTGGTCACAGCAGAGAAAGGACAGCTTTCAAGAGCAGTGACATCTTGATACTCCACTGGCAATTCTGATGCATGACCATCTCAAGGAGATCAATGCAGAGAGCTAACAACATGCACAACACTTTTCTCTATACCCCTCCCAACCTAAAATGGGAGTTGGATAACTGTGGATGAATTAGACCAAATCCCTGAGACCAACTAGGCTATATTCCTTAATCCCTTGCTGCATGGTTCTATCTTAGAAATAGCTCCTTCAATATGACTGAATTCAACTATCAGTTTCTACATAGCTATTCTCTTCCAACTATTCTTGACGCTTTTGTATAGATTCTCATTTACTTCCTTTAGAGTTCTATTACTTTTTCTCCTAATAGCCTACTTCCTCTTGAGACTCTGTTCATGCTCAGGGGGATGTGAGGTTCTTTCACTATCTAGGGGGCTTAATTGTGGAAGACTAAGGGACTTGCACACATAAAGAGATGTTTGTCTGGGTGAAAGCTGACAAGACCCACTTAAGAAGCAACAAAGAGGGAAAGAAATCAGTAACACTGGTGGAGGCGGGGGCAGAAGTAATTTCCCCCTATTATATATCCCATTGCTTTTTTCCTACAGTATGTTAAGAAGATATCCAAACTGAAAAGGGTTCATAAAAACTTCATAATCTACTATATAACAGTCATATTATTGTGGACTCTAGAAGTTTCTACCACTAGAGAGCAACTCTGTACCTTCACTACGGCTTGGCTCTGCCAGAATTGAGAAACACAGTAGCAAGGAGAAAGCAAGTCATAATTAGCAGTCCTGAGTTCTAGTATCAAGATGGCACACAGGCAGTCATACCTTTTAGTGCTTCAAATATTCCTGGTATTTAAGAAAATTTCTGTAATAAAGATTGCTGTGTGTGCTTAGTTGCTCAGTCATATCCAACTCTTTGCGACCCTATGGACTGTAGCCTGCCAGGCTCCTCTGTCCATGGGGATCTTCCAGGCAAGAATACTGGAGTGGGTTGCCATGCCCTTCTCCAGGGGATCTTCCCAACTCAGGGATCGAATCCAGGTCTCCCACATTGCAGGCGGATTCTTTACCACTAGTGGCAGGTCTAAGCCACCAGGGAATAACAAAATAATACTGCTGTGGTGCTAGACAACAAACAAGTAAATTCTAAGCCTAAACTTACACGAAAAATTTACCCTAGGAAACAGTGGACTACAAAGCTTACTTAATGGCACAAACTTCTAATACTTATTTTTATATGTGGCCAACATGTGTTAGGCCTATGGGGCCCTGCAGGATTTCAATATTCCTAAACTTATAGAAAGAAACAATGCTTATCCAGGTAACATTACCTTACATTTGCATAGTACATTATGCTTTGCAAAGAGTTTTCATGTCCATTACTTCACTTACACAATTTCCAACATAATGGGAATACATAATCCATAAAAGAACATTCGTCGGATGATCACCTCAAAAGAGTAAAACCAAAAAGATAGATAGACTTGACATGACAGTTACAATGTTCAAAAATGGGAGGTACATGCAACATGCAAATCTATCAATCCCCAAATGGTATTTCTCCTGAATTCCATGCTAGGCTTTAGGAGAAATGCAAACATGATAACCATACCAATTTAGTTTACAGGAAAGCAAACCTGAGGCTCATTACTGAAGAGATTCTATATTTTTTTTACACACCTGGAAAACTGAAAAATGCTGGAATCCAGAGGCTTAAGTTGAAGAGAAGTTGTTCTGCTTTCTTCTCCAACAGATGAAAGCTGGCTGGGGCTATCAATTCCCTCATACCCAGTCGTCTTATTATTCAAGTCATCCATATCTTGAATAGAAGGGATCTTCAGTGGATTAGTGAATACCTAGCAAAGAAAGCAAGAATTCATAAAAATCCTAATTTCAAACCAAATACCAAAGGGTGAGTCAATCCTTCTGATGCTAGGAAAAAACACTTGGCCAAATAAAAATAAACTGTTTCCTACACAAAACAAACAGCGCACAGTAATGTACACTAGAACACTGACCCCAGGCATGTTCAGTTATAACCTTATCAGCTGGATACCAACAGACCTCCCCAAGTCACTTACTGGTTCCTGGAATCATCCCATCAACAACACAAACCCAGGCCCCCAAATCACTTTCTTATTCTTTGGATCCAGTGTAAGACTGGGTTTTCACTCCTCTGAGATCTGTGATGAGGGAAGGAATGGAGGGAATAAGCACTGCAGCAAATGTCTGTGCTGGTCTTGGAGAAATGCATGCGAGAGACTAACATATACTGCACACACAGAAACATGCATCTGGGATCTTCTGGGAGAGCCAGCTTATGAAGATAGCATGAATGATGAAGGTGAAGGAATATAAAGGGGAGGTAAACTGAATGAGGACAAGGCAGTCCCAGGAAATTTCCCAGTCTCTAGATCAGACTATAAAGCCAAGATAGGAGGGTTTGCAACCTATTTATTAATACACCTGGGTCTTGGTAGAGTGTCAGAAGAAGAATTAGTATTTAATTGCCTCTATCCTCACCAGCCTGACCTACCCTGACTGAGTGGGTGGAAGGTGAATCTAACATGCTGCTAGCAGATATCTCTGGGAAAGAGGGTCAAGAGGAAAATCATGCAGAAAGGCAAGGTTGGGTGGGGGAGATAAATGGGTGCTATGGTGGCTGTCAGGAAAGGAGTGTCCCTGAAAGGACGGCCAACCTTATTGCACCCTTCAGCGTCCGGAGTTGGGCAACCATGTCCGAGAGACAGTGCTCCTGAAAATTCAAAACAGCAGAGTCTTTATAAAGCCAGCCAGCCTGAAAGCGGTGTGGGGGGGGGGAGGGCACAAAAGAACCATCCCTTCTTCCCAAGAGGAAAGCAGAAAGGAGTCACCCGTGAATCCTGGAAGGAAGGAGACTGAGGAAAACCAGACACTCAACAGGAGCCTGTATGAGGATGCAACGTAACCCTGTGTACTCTGTGACACCGAATGTGACATTCACACTACCCAGAATCAGTACTGAATCCAAATCTGGGCAATACATGATTTGGCTCTTCTATTTTTATGGTGATCTGAACATCAGTAACAGCAGATCAAAGCAAAAATAAAAAGATCCAGTAAAAAAAAAAGACCACCAGAACAAATGGCTTGTTATTTCTATGCAGCTTTCAAGAGTGCTTTCTTCAACCTATGTCTTCTGTTGGGGGAAATTCTGTGTGAGGAAAAGAAGAGGGTAGACCATCTCTCACCTGGTGGCTCTCGTTTTCTGTTGGTACCTTCTTCTTCTCAACAGTTTGATCTCTAGGAGAATATAAAAGTGCTATTTAGTTCACTCATGAACTGTAGATTTAGGTTATAACGTTCCTTCTAAACTAGAAACAGTGTGAGCCTTGCTGAGTACTTAAGAGTTCCTTCCTGGACTGTGCTACTAAAGAGAGATTTCAAATGCCCTATCAAAAGAGGGTTGGGGTGGGAGAGAGGGAGAGAAACTAGAGCCAATCTCTAGTTGAGACATTCAGGAGATGATTACAAAGAATAAAGAACTCCAAGAGCAGAGAGGTGAATAGGAAAATCATTAAAAAATCATCTCTCTTCTCAAAATTCCCATCCCATTTGGAAGGGTCAGGCTCCTCTATTAAAGGATATAGACTGCCATCTTGGGTAAGGTATACTCAACTGTTTCTTAGCTCTGCTCAAGTACAGGTCTTCATCAATGAGTTCTTGTTCCTCTGGAACAGAGCACCTCCTGCAGTACATAGAAGAAGTTATCTTTTGGAAAGAAAATGTCTTTGTGCCAGTACCATACTGTCTTGATGACTGTGGCTTTGTAGTAGAGCCTGAAGTAAGCCAGAAAGATAAAGATAAAGACCAATACAGTATACTAATGCATATATATGGAATTTAAAAAGATGGTAACAATAAAACAGAAAAAGAGGCACAGATGTACAGAATGGACTTTGGGACTCTGTGGGAGAAGGCGAGGGTGGGATGTTCTGAAAGAATAGCATTGAAACAAGTATACTATCAAGGGTGAAACAGATCACCAGCCCAGGTTGGATGCATGAGACAAGTGCTCAGGGGTGGTGCACTGGGAAGACCCAGAGGGATCGGATGGGGGATCGGGATGGGGAACACATGTAAATCCATGACTGATTCATGTCATGGATTCATGTCAATGTATGGCAAAAACCACTACAACACTGTAAAGTAATTAGCCTCCAACTAATAAAAATAAATGAAAAAAAATTAAAAAAATAAAGTTGTAACATTCATTTTGCACTGAAAAAAAAAAGAAAGAAAATGTGCCCTTGACTTTCACCCTTCATTTTCCTCACAAGTATAACAAGGCAGATTAACCACCATCTAACATTATAGAGTTCAGATCCCACCCACAGTACAAAATCTGTGGGCAGGTTACTAGGTAGCAATTCTTTTTTTCAATGCATACCATATCATTATTTTTGGTGCGTATAACACCCTTCTCCCAAGATACTCAAAGTACTTGACAGCTATAAAATTCGTATGATGGTAGAGAGCATGAAGCATAATCTCTATTTTTACACAGTGAAATTCAAGCACAAGAGAGACTTGCTTGGGCTTCTATAGAAGGAGAATATCACTGAGACTAGAACCTAGGTCTCCTGCCTCTCATGTATTAAGACAGAAATCCCCAAGGTCCAGGATAAGCAGGAGCACCCAAAGACTGTGATGATCCCTGAAGAGGAAAATCAGAGGCTATGATAGAGAGCAGCACAAAGGGATGAGGAGCTGACATTGTAAAAGAGACAGAACAGAGGCTAGCAAAGAAGAGAAAAAGAGGATTCTATAAATCAAAAGATGTTTGCTATATATAAAGCATAAAGAAGAGGATTTTAGGAGTATAAGCTGAAAGAAGTACTAGAAAATGTATTCAGTGGACAAAGGCAATCCTAGAAATAAACAGAAACTAATAATAACTGGAAAGCCCATGTTATATCCATTTTATTAGGGGACAAAGTGTCCTGGAAGGTTATGTCTCCTGGACTAAATATAAACTGACAGCATATAGAGAATTCGAAAATGAGACTTCTAAGTACTCAATCTCACATTTTAATCACACCACCCTAAGAGGTACTTAGGCACACCTTTAGTCTATGGGGGAATCCTTGCTTATTACAGAACTGGACTTCATTGCTTTTTATTTCCTCCATTTTCAACGTTTTTTTTCCCTTAAAAAGCATACTCTGGTTTAGTACCTGTTTCTCTATCAGCATTTATACCGCAGAAAAAAGTTAAGAGTCACAGGTGAATTGAAACAAACTGAATTATTATTATGAACCTATGTTACTGAGTCATATACAAATATTTGTTAAATTGAAATGATGTCCATGATGTGAAAGTTTGGACAATAAAGAAGACTGAGCGCCAAAGAATTGATGCTTTTGAACTGTGGTGTAAGAGAAAACTCTTGAGAGTCCCTTGGACTGCAAGGGGATCAAACCAGTCAATCCTAAAGGAAATCAACTCTGACTGTTCATTGGGAGGACTGATGCTGAAGCGGAAACTCCAATACTTTGGTCACCTGATGCGAGGAGGCAACTCATTGGAAAAAGACCTTGATGCTGGGAAAGATAGAAGGCAGGAGGAGAAGGGGACATCAGAGGACAAGATGGCTGGATGGCATTACCGACTCAATGTACATGAGTTTGAGCAAGGTCCGGGAGATGATGAAGGACAGGGAAGCCTGGCATGCTGCAGTCCATGGGGTCGCAAAGAATCAGACATGACTGAGCGACTGAACAACAACAAATCTAGATGTTAGCTGTTTCAAGGAACAGATGAAAGTGAAGGTGTTAATCACTCAGCCGTGTCCAATTCTTTTCAATCCCATTGACTGTAGCCCACCAGGCTCCTCTGTGCATGGAATTCTCCAAGCAAGAATACTGGTGTGGGTTGCCATTTCCTTCTCTAGGGGATTCTCCCAAAGCAGGGATCAAACCCAGGTCTCTTGCACTGCAGGCGGATTCTTTACCGTCTGAGCGATGGAATATTAGAAAAACAGACATGTAAACAATCTAAATTGAAAGTATAATAGGTACTTCAACAGATTCAAGTATAAGAAGCATATGAAGAAAACTGTCAATTCAACCTGAAATATAAATCCCTTGTTCTCAAATAGCTTACAATCTCTTGAAGAGCCCAAATGTATACATATGAAAAACATCCCCCAAATTCAAACAGTACGTGAACAAATGTGAAGAATTAAATACTACAGACAGCCAGAGTAAAATCATTGTAAACTACTGTCTACAGGAGAAGTATCACACAAAATACTTCTGCTTCCCAGAGGATATGATCAGATGGAATATAGAAAGTCACTCTAAGCAAGTGGAATGACAGTATCAAGTCATGGAGAAGGGAATACATGCAGCATGTGTAGGGAAGAGTGAAGCCACAGGCCTGCTAAAGCAGAAGGCCTGTGTTAACATACAATGAATAGGTCAAGACCAGTTAGCACAGGGGCTTGAATGCCAGGTTGAAGAGTGTAGACTAGAGATGAAAAGTGTTTTAGAACAGAGACAAATCAGGACTTATCTCTGGCATAATACTGAGTCTTAACCTTACCTGTACTTTGGGTGGGAATTATAGTAGCAAAACCATCTTGCAGGTAGTGTGGATGGATCAACCTTGCCAGGAAGCCTCCTCCATTTCAGACACTCATCACACTGTACCCATGTCTGGTCAGGAATCTTCCTGAATGGAAGAAAACAAAAATAGGACTGTCTATATTCTAGCTCTATACTCTTACATTAAAAGGCATACCCTAAAATTGAAAGAACTGAAAGAAAGAAAGAATTAAACATGAAATGTGTTAGAAATGTTATAGTCCAGGTGTCTAAAATGTATAATCTTAAACTTCACAGATAAAACAATGATAGAACTAGACCAGATATGGATATGAAAACTGTAATAAGTATTAATGTGGTAAGCCACCAAATTATAGAGCTCAACAGTACTTATCCTGGAACCTTATTTCTTGAGTTTAACAAAAGGATAACTTTAACTCTAAAATTTATTAGTCAGCAAAAATTTTATATATATTACAATATTACTAAAAAATAAAACCCACAGAAACACTTTATTTGCTTCTATCCAAACTCATGATAGATTTGAAATGCATCTGTGAGAGTCGCTGAAGCAATGTCATTACAATGTCTCCTCTATTTCCGCACAGGCTCCCTAGTCCTTTTTTCCCCTTTCAAAAAGTCTTTGTTTATACTTAAATCAAAATTTTATTAGATAGATATTCCCAAAGTTAATCTTAAAAAGTAGCATAAATTTTATTACATTTTGTAACTAGAAAAAGTGGCTCCAGTCCAACAACTGGGTTATTAACAGAGAATTCTTCCAGAATTCTACTCTTTTAAAAAATTTTTGGCTGCACCCTGCATCATGTCAGTTCTTAATTCCCTGACCAGGAATTGAACCTGTGTCCCCTGCATTGGAAGACAAAAGTCTTAACCACTGGACTGCCAGGGAAGTCCCCAGAGCTCTACTCTTAATACACATACTCATTCCCATCTCCTTCAGGAAGTGTAACCCAGTCACATACACCTTGGGGTAAATTTGTTTCCCTCTAAGAGGAAATGATCCATATATAAGAGAATTAGTGTGCATCTAACATGTGAAAGGCAGACCAGACTGGGAAGGGGGAAGGCTAGAGAAAAGACAGAGAGAGGGTAGAGGGGCACCTAGGGCCAATTTGAAAAACATGTAATTTAGCCTAGGACAGATTCTGTGTATATTACATTTATACTGCTCTTATGCTAGACATTTCAATAGTGATATGATTCTTTTATGTCTTAGTTCGATATTTTTGTATCTTTTTAAATGGTGCTTTTTTTCTAGTTATAAAAGCAATATAAGCCCATCCATATTAAAAAACTATTAAAAAAACTATAAAATACAAAAAGAAAAAGAAAATGTACCAGTAAGTCTACTACTCAAATACAATGTCTTCTTGTTTAAAACTGTTTTAATGAAGAGAATCCATACACATTCTTGGATATACAGCTTCCTATCTCCTAGCTACAGGCTGCTCCAGCCTTGCAACTCTCAACTCCAAGCTCAGGCCTGACCTCTGGTGTCTATATATTTCTGTACAGCCAGTTTTATTTGAGGCTTCCCTCATAGCTCAGTTGGTAAAGAATCTGCTTGCAGTGCAGGAGACTGGGGTTCTAATCCCTGGGTCAGGAAGATCTCCTGGAGAAGGAAATGGCAACCCACTCCAGTATCCTTGCCTGGAAAATCCCATAGACAGAGGAGCCTGGTGGGCTGCAGTCTATGGACTCACAAAGAGTTGGGCATGACTGAACAACTAACACACTGTTTTATTTAGAGCCAGAGAAAGCAGTTTCAGCAGTAGTGCAAGGGGACAGAAAAGGTCATATTAGCTTTGGTTTTACATGCACACACACAAGAGTCTTTTGCAAAAGCACGTCAATATTACTCTCTCGGGAACAAGCATTAGAGACAGTAATTCTCTACCTCAGGTTACATGCAGACCATGGTAGATCCTCCCAACCAGGCAGACAGAAGAGGCTTTTTGTGCACAAGCCTAAATAGGCAGGTGAAGGGGCTATGCTGTATTTTTCTCATTGCATCCTTCCAGAAGAGTGTCGTGGTTAAGAACTTGGGTTTGGGGGTCAGACTGCCTTTATTTGAAAACTGGATCTACCACTTTCTATTTATCTAATTTTGAACAAGTTACTTAGCTCTCAGTGTATAAGTGTCTACATTTATAAAGAAGTAATAATATCATCTGCCTGTCTCACAGGATTGTTGTGATGGTTAAATATACATGTAAAGACCTTAAACCAGTGTCTGACAGTAAGTACTAAATAATCATTAAACTTCCAGAAAAGGCTGTATAACATATATACACACACTCCAGCAATATATGAACATCTGTTCCATTGCATTAATCGCTGTTTATTTAAAAGGCAAAAAGATTATCTCATCTTAATTTCCATTTCTTTGAAAACCATGAATGTTGGACAGGAATAGAAATCTTTAGAATCAGATACAGTGATAGTCATACAGCAACTATGTGGCATTGAAAACAAAATTTTATTTTTCTTTTTAAGTTTTAAATTAATTTATTTTAATTGAAGGCTCATTACTTTACAATATTGTATTGGTTTTGCCATACATTGACATGAATCAGCCATGGGTGTACATGTGTTCCCCATCCTGAACCCCCTCCCACCTCCCTCCCCATCCCATCCCTCAGGGTCATCCTAGAGCACCAGCCCTGAGCACCCTGTCTCATGCATCGAACCTGGGAAAACAAAATTTTATATCAAACATTTGATGATTTCCATTTAAAAGAAACACAGTGCCTACCCCCAAATGAACTTTCAACACTCTAATCTTTGTTTTGATGGTATAATTGACTGTGTACATGTTGTCACACATTCTGCCCTCTGTATTATGCTTCTTTCCTGGCCTCCTGAAGCATTTCAGCCTGACACCATTCTTTTTTTTTTTTTAATCCACCATTCTGTATGTAATTTTGTGTCTTAGAGTCAGTAAATTCTACATTTTTTCTTGATATGTTGGGTTCTCTATTTCTATTCTCAAGTTTCTTGATATGGTTCCAACAATGTTCATTAGAATAAAAAGAAGGGAAGTTTGCTAATATTTCTGAATGCCTACTATATGCCAGGTACTGTGTTAGGCCATCTAACTTAACACATTATTGGCTGGGGATTTTTGCAGAAATTAACACCTGTGGCTAGTGATTTGTTATGTAAGCGAATACTGATATGTCTTCCAGTCAAATGTAAAGTAATTATCCTCCAATTAAAAAATTAAAAAAAAATAACATTCAGGTAACAAAAGACATATTAATACGTCTCTGGTCAATAATGAGTTAATATACTCAGAGAGATGAAGTGACTTACTTACCTAAGCTCATTCAACTATTAAGAATCAGATTTAATAGAGAAGACTTGTGGTTGCCAAGGTGGGGGGTGGGGGGGTGGGTAGGGGAGGGAAGGAATGAGAGTTTGGGATTATCAGAGGCAAACTATTATACATAGGACGGATAAACAACAAGGTCCTACTGTATAGCACAGTATTGAACTATATTCAATATCCTGTTTCAACCATAATAGAAAAGAATATGAAAAAGAATATACATATGTATAACTCTGTCACTCTGTTGTACAGAAGAAATTAATATAACATTGTAAATCAATTATACTTCAATAAAATCCAAAAACAAACCAAAAACTAGTAGACTTTTATCCATGATTTAATTTCATGACTTTTGCCTAATTATTTGGAAATAGAGAATACAACAATCATTTATTTAGGCTTTGAAGTAATATTCATAACATTTATAGATCTTATGACCTGAAAACAATTTTAATACATTAGATAATATACAGTAAAATTAAAAAAAAGAAGAAGTAGATCTAAATTTTCAACCAAGGAGTAGCTGATTCAAATGGTCATCATCTTCCATTACATTACACTGACAACAGGATAAACTGACAATACTAAACTCGTCATATTTATGATCCAAACCACACAAGTATTAAACCAGAATGAAGAGGTTTAGAGAATGATGAAGTTAGTACCTGTGATTTCCTGTTTTTAGTTAATTAAACTTCCTTATGTGAAAAGCATCATCTTTCCTATTCCTTCCATTTGCCCTGTAAGATGTTACCCCCGACACTTTTATTTTCTAAATTTACTACTCACGGTATTGGACTGACTATGGCTGAGGTCTCCAAATTCTCTTGGGAGGTCTTTTCCTTCCAATAAGCATTGAGCTTCTGGGCAAGGGCATTTACTGTCAACCTGAAAGAAAAAGAAAGCAGCATGTCAATGTTAAGAATTTGTTGAATAATTTTGTAATCTTTAAGATGCTCCCACTTAACGGAAACCAGCCATTTAGAATATTCAGCATAGGTTTGAACATCTACACTTCAAGCAACTAGGATGGGAATCTACTGCCTTTGTAAATTACGTGTCAAAATGACAAAGTTCATAATGTTGAATAGTCACTTTGGTTGAAAAGGTTAAGATGGTCCTAAAAAATGCTGTGTTCTCCATATTTTAGAATCACAGTGAGGGAAAATGACATTAGAGACAACGACAGAAGACTACACTGCAGATAAGTAGTTGGGGAATTATTCAGCTGTCAGATCACTACATGTAAACAATTCAGGACCAAGTTCAAAGTCAGAGGATCAAATACTGCACCCTACCTATTACAAATCAATCAAACAGTAACTTAAAACATGTCTATATGGTTCTTCTTTATCCAAATGCTGATCATAGCAGTTACAGCAGCAATAGGTAACAAAGTCCCCTTCAGCCTTCTATGACACAGCTGTTAGTAGAGGCTATGCCCCAATTATGGCTCTTGCCCTTTTTCCTTTATCTCTCTTCTTAAATGAACAACAGCAGACCCAGGGTCAAACAGTATGATGTGCAGCAAATCTGAATTTTACTTTGAAAAACTGGCAATTTCTAGTGACTAATTTCTGTTTAATTCTACAATTCAGGATTACAACTTAATGTACAGCTGTACATACATACTTGAAATATTACAAATTTAGTATTTTTTAAAAAATCTCAACTCCCCAGATAACTCCCCAAAGATTTTGTAGACCTTTCCTTAAGAGAAATTCTTCCTTAACTCTGCCTTGCTCGTATTAGATTCTGACTACACAGAGAAGATTAAATGAACTTTCTTATAAACTCTTATTCCCCCCTCTGACCTACCAATATACCGACCTCTATGTTTATATTCTTTACTGAAGTCACAGATGAAGAATTATTTATTGCCTTCTATTAAAGTTTTATTTAAAATCTACTTTTTAAAAAAGATTATAGGGGCTTCCCAGGTGGTTAAGAACCCACCTGCCAATGCAGAGGACACCAGTTCGATCCCTGGTCTGGGAAGATCCCACATGCTGAGGAGCAACTAAGCCCATGCACCACAACTACTGAGCCCATATGCTGCAACTACCGAAGCCCACATGCCTAGAGCCTTTGCTCCACAAGAGAAGCCACTGCAATGAGAGGCCTGTGCACTGCAATGGCAAATGAAGCATAGCCCCTGCTCACTGCAACTGGAGAAGACCCACGAGGCAATGAAGATCAAGCATGGCCAAAATTTAAAAATAGTTAAATAAATAAAAAAGATTCCATGGGATTCTGGAAAGCTGGTGGAGTAGGAAGCAAGAATCTGCCTTCCCATAAAGACAACATTTACACTGGCAGAACTGGCAGAACCATTTGGAATTCTGGAGTCTACCGAATGCTTGTAATTTCCAGGGGAATGCTTGGATGACAAATTGGGAAATCTCAGCTCTTAGCACAGTAGTAGTTACCCATCTCCTACCCCAGCCCCATGTCAGATGGCTATGCACACATCTCAAGAGTAGCTTGCAGGAACCAGGGCAGGCAAAAAGGACCTCTCCCTCCAAATATTGGGGATCTGTGCTCTGATTTCTGTTTGCTGCTTCTGCTCACAGCATCATGTAACCCCACGGTAACCCCAAAGAAAATAGCTATAAATATACACAAAAGGAAATGAGAAGAATTTAAATGCTTCACTACAAAAAAATCAACTAAACATAAAAGATGACAGTAATACAGGAAATGAAGGACAAAATATAAGACATATAGAAAACAAACAGCAAAATGACAGACATTCTTTCTTATTGGTAATTACTTTAAATTTAAAAGGATCAAACTCTCCATCAAAAGACAGAGAGATGGTCAAAATGGGTTTTAATAAAAAGGCCAAAATATATGCTGTCTATGTGAGACTAATTTTACATACAGAGACACACAGTGAAAATGAAAGGATAGAAAAGGATATTCCCTGTAAATAATAACCAAAAGAGAGCAAGGGTAGTTATTTAATAGAAGTATCAGACAAAATAGACTATAAATCGTAAGAGCTAAAACACTGAAGCAACCTGTGTCCACTAATAAATGAATGGATAAGCAAAGTATGGTACATACAAACAAAAGAATATTAAAAAAGGAAACAGCCTTAAAAAAGTAAATTGTGCTGATTCATGTCAATGTATAGAAAAAACCACTACAATACTGTAAAGTAATTAGCCTCCAACTAATAAAAACAAATGGGAAAAAATAGGCTTTGAAAAAAAAAATAAATAAAATTAAAAAAAAACTGAAAGAAGATAGGTCCAATCTGTTCTGTTCTGCAAAATGTCAATAGAGATTCTTTAAAAAAAAAAAGTAAATTCTGACATATGTACAACATAGATGCAACTTGAGGACATTATGTTAAGTGAAATAAGTCACAAAATGAGAAATACTGTGTGATTTCACTTACATGAGGTACTTAGCATAGTCAAATTCAAAGCAGAATGGAGGAGTTATTGTTTAATAGGTATAGAATTTCAGTTTTGCTAGATGAAAATAGTTCTGCAGATGATGGTGGTTGTAGGGTAAGGGAGTTAGAGAAGGCAAGGTTCGGAAAAAGAATGAGACCAGCACTTTACAGGAACAGATCACCTTTAATGAGGCCAGAAAGAGCAGCACTCAGATTAGTGACCTGCTGCACTAACCCAAGAAGAAAGTATATATGGGCACATATGTGGAAATCTACAGTCTTAAGGGGGCCTGTTCTCCAAGGTTGTTCAGAATAGTTATCTCTTAAATGGCTGGGGCAAGGAATTCGGGAGATGGACGTAACCAACCTTAAGGTCCATTTTTTTCCTTCGGATGAGAGAGTTCTTTGTTTTGCATAGAATGATGGGGAGGACCCTGAGAGGAGTTTTAACTCCAGGCTATTTTGAGCCATGTAACTTTCCTTCAGGGTGATGGTTGCATAACAATATGAATGTACTTAATACCGCCAAACTGCACTTTTAACAATGGTTAAGATGGTAATGTTATGTGTATTTTACCACAATTAAAAAAAGGAAAAAAAGGAAATAAGATTATGTGGTCATCAGGGGTTGGAGAGGAGGGGAAATGAGGAGTGATTGCTAATGGACAAGATGTTTCTTTTTGAGATGATGAAAATGCTTTAGAATTAGATAGTGGTGATGGTTGTACATACTTTGTGAATATACCAAAACCAACAAAGTAGTCATTTTTAAATGGTGACATTTATGGTACACGGATTATATCTCAATCAAACAATAAACCTCTGTTCTCATATACTTGGGCAAAAAATATTGAGGTGAAATTTACAGAGTAAAATTTATCTTTTTAATGTGTAGTTCTGTTAAGTTTTAGCAAATGCACACAGTCATGTAAATATTAATACCACCTCAATCAAGATACCATTATCATGAATTTTGAAACTCCATTCCTTCTTGCAAAAACCTGATTTAATTTCACTGTTCTATTAGTCTCTTTCCTTTCACTTCCCCAATCCTGGTATATGTGGTCTATATCCACTATCTTCTCTTCATACTCCTGTCTTAATCCCCTACAATCTAACCACTGCCATTACACGAAATTGTTTCTTTTCCCAGTCTCAGTATTGGGATACTGCCAGTATCCCAGTCTACTGAATTTGAGACTTTAAAGTGACCTTTGAGTCTTCCTCTCCTTTATTTTCCTTATCCCATTATTAATATATCACCAAATTTTAAAATCTTTTTTTCATAGTATCTGTTATATATTTCCTTTTTCACAGCAGTCTTATTTCAGACCTTCACCTCACACCTAGATTACTCAAATAGTATATAGTTCTTTTTAACCTATCCTGCACCCTGTCTCCAGGTTTATCAACTGATATAATTCATGTAAAGCACTTTATAAGCCATAGAGCAGTATATAAATATTATATTCTTAAGACAGAATTATTTCAAGTCACCCCTTTATTCAAGAATAAACAATGAATTCTCATTGCCCAAAGTATCAACTACTCTAGCCAATATCCCTCTAAGACAGAAGTTCTCAAACTTGGTTCATGGTACCTGTAGTGTCTCAAGTTTTGCATGGCACCCTTAGGTCTAAAGAAATATGTACTAGTTCCACTTACTATTAAACAGTTATGTACAACAAGTATGGACTAAAATGTAGTGTCCATCTGAAAATATATATACTAAAATATTTCTATTTCAATCTTAAATAGCCACAATTACTTATAATGGAATGGGTATGCCTGTTGGATATTGAACAATTGCTCAAACTTTGGAATCAAATTGGACACAACATCCCTAATTTCTTATTCAACACTGATTTTTTGTGTATTACTTGCTTTTTATCACTGTAATCACAAAAAACCCTAGATTCACAAAGATACGATGTAATCAAAAGTAATTAAACATTTTTATACCTAGGAGTGTGGTGTTAGCATAACAAATACCTAAAAATGTGGAAGTGGTTTGGGATTGGGCAGTGGGGCAGAGGCTGGAAGAATTTGAAGAACATTACACAAATTGCCTGGATTGCCTTGAATAGACTGTAGAAATATGGATGTTAAACACCCCACTGGTGAGTACTCAGAAGTGTACATCATGGTAGAAAAAAACACAAACTTCCTCAGAGTATATCTAAGTCACTGGGAACGGACTGTTAGCAGAATTATGGATGTTAAAATTGTTGCTGGTAAAGGCTCAGAAGGAAATTAGCAACACGTTATTAGAAAACTTGAGGGAAGGTATTCCTTGTTATGTAGTGGCAGAAAGCTTAGCAGAATTGGATCCAATACAAGGTGGAAAGCAGAACTCCTAAATGACAAAACTGGACATTTAGTTTAAATTTCCAAGCAAGGTGCTGAAAGTGTGGTCTAGTGGCTGCTTGCTTACATAAAATGTGAGAAGAAAGAAATAAACTGAGGGAAGAACTGTTCAATA